ATATATATTAATAAAGTAGAATAGTATTTAGCTCTATACGTAGTATGGTTATAACGTTTTATCTGGATATATAAAAATAATAATGTTGCTATGGTAGAATTACAGCTTTTATTTATTTTTTTGTACTTTCCAACTTTTCTATCATATGCATACTTTTTGACATAAAAGGAGATATAAACTCTGTTTTTCCCACAACACTAAGTAATGGACCGGTTAACCTTTTCTCATAAGACTTACAGCATGATCTTCCAGATTTTCTTTTAAATGAGGGAAAAATAGAATAAAAATAACTGGAGAGTTAAATAAATGAATTTTATATTTCTTGACAAAAAGCCCTATCTTAGTTTTGAGAATCTAATTTTCTGTACCAATTAAATTGTTTTTAATGAATGTATATTCTTAGTAAGTTTGTGTAGTTATAGCCCACAGATTAAAGTTTGTGGAATTTGATTCATAAGCCACCTTTTTCCCCCTCAGAAACTATGCTATTCTTATTGAAACTGCATTAAAACTGGACATTTGGGGAATTTTTTTTACCTTTTTTTCTTTTTGATATTCTTGTTTATTCTATTACGGTGGTCCCCATTTTTCCCCCTTTGCCCTCCTCCATCCTGGCCCATCACCCCCTCCCACAGTCCATCCCCACACCGTTACCCATGTCCATGGGTCATTCATATATGTTCTTTGACTACTCCCTTACTCTCTTTTGACCATTCTCCCCTCCCCCTTCCCTCTGGGAGCTGTGTCTGTTCCGTTTCCATGTCTCTGGTTCTGTTTTGCTCATTAGTTTGCTCATTAGATTTCTTTTTACTGGTTTTCAGAGTATGCCAACATATTTTATAAATAATTACTCTTGCTAAAACTTATCTCTGACCTGAACAGCATCCAAGAGTTAGGCCATATTAAATAGTGTTTACTGTTCAAGCAGATGAATCCTAAGATTTGCCAGCACTAGTGTTTTATATAGGAAAATAGCAGCGCAAAGGTCCAAGAACTAGTTCCTGCCAGGTAGGCGGCATTTGACAAGCCCAAAGGTGTGAACCAGGACAGACAGCTCAGAGTTATATTTAGTGGTTGAAAAGAATCCTCTGACTTGGAAGGAGCTGTGCTTATGCGAGTGAGTTTTTTTCTCTGTCCATAAAATATTTATCTTAACCCCCTGTGTGGGCCTAAGCCTAAAACAAGTCAGAATGTTATTTCCAATGTGCCCACAGTCTAGCTGTCGCTTATTTTATTTTTTAATTTGATTTTTGTGTTTTATCAAATTAGTTTTTAACAATTTTTAAAAAGTCTAATAATACTGTCAAGATAAACAGTACCCTCCTGCTATCAATACATTGTCTCTGCAGCGAACACAGAGGTGCATTGTCTTTTCAAATTAGTGTTTTCATTTTCTCAGATAAATAACCAGAAGTATATTTTGGAGATCAGACCCTTGTCTGAGATATCAATGGCAAGTATATTTTCCCATACAGTTGGTTCACTTTTCATTTTGCTGATGTTTTCTTTAGCCATGTAGAAGCTTTTTATTTTGATGAAGTGCCATTTGTTTATTCTTTCCTTTATGTACCTTGCTCTAGGGGACATATTGCTGAAAATATTGCTGCATGGATTATCTGAGATGTTCCTGCCTATGTTCTGCTCTAGGACTAGTATGGTGTCGCAACTTATATTTAAGTCCTTTATCCACCTTGAGTTTACTTTTGTGTATGGTATAAGTTGGTGATCGATTTTGTTTTTTTGCATGTAGCCATCCAGGTCTCCCAGCACCATTTGTTGAAGAGGCTATTTTTTACTCCATTTTATGCTCCTGCCCCCTTTTCAAATATTAATCGACCATAGAGACTTGGGTTTATTTCTAGGCTCTCTCTCTTCTGTTCCACTGATCTACATGTCAGTTCTTGTGCCAGTACCAAGCTGTTTTGATTTACAGTGGCCTTGTAATACAGTTTGATATCAGGTATTGTGATCCCTCTTACTTTGTTCTTCTTTCTCAGAATTGCTGCAGCTATTCAGGGTTGTTTATGATTCCATATAAATTTTTTAAACATTTGTTGTATATCTGTGAAATATGTCATTGGTATTTTAATAGGATCTATAATATAGGATCTATATTTCATTGAATCTATAAATTGCTTTGGGTAATATGGACATCTTGATTATTTTAATTCTTCCAATCCATGGACACAGTATATGCTTCCATTTATTTGTTTCTTCCTTAATTTCTTTCTTTAGTGTTATATAGTTTTCTGAGTACAGGTCTTTTACCTTCTTGGTTAGGTTTGTTCTTAGGTACTTTATTTTCTTGTTGCTGTAGCAAATGGGATTTTTTTTCCCAACTTCTGTTTCTGATATTTCATTGTTAATGTACAAAAATGCCTTTAGTTTCTGAATATTGACTTTGTATCCTGCTGTTTTGCCAAATTCACTTATTAGTTTGAGTAGTTTTTTGGTGGAGCCTATAGGGTTTTCTATGTATACTATCATGTCATCTGCAAACAATGACAGTTTTACTTCCTCCTTTCCAATTTGGATGCCTTTTACTTTTTTTTCTTACCTGATCACTCTGTCTAGGACTTCCAATACTATGTTGAATAGAAGTGGTAAAAGAGGACACCATTGTCTTGTTCCTGATCTTAGTAGGGAAGCTTTTAGTTTTTGCCCATTGAGTATGATGTTGGCTGTAGTATTCTCAGATATGGCCTTTATTATGTTGAGGTGTGCTCCCTCTATTCCCACTTTGCTAAGTGTTTCTCTCCAAAGTATATAAATACCTCACATGACTCCACTCCAGGAAGACAAACAATCCAATTAAAAAGTGGGCAAAGGATCTGAACAGACTCTTTTCCAAGGAGGACATACAGAGGGCACAGAGACATATGAAAGAATGCTCAGCATCACGAGCCATCAGAGAGATGCACACTGGTCAGAATGGCCATCATAAACAAATCAACAAATAGCAAGTGATGATAAGGATGTGGAGAAAAGGAAGCCCTAGTGCATTGTTGGTGGGAATGCAGACTGGTGCAGCCACTGTGGAAAATAGTATGGAATTTCCTCAGAAAGACAAAAATGGAACTGGCTTTTGACCCAGCAATTCCCTTGCTTGGATTATATCCTAAGAATCCTGAAACACCAATTCCAAAGAACCTATGCACCAGAATGTTCACAGCAGCACAATTTACAATAGCCGAGTACTAGAAGAAACCTAAGTACCCATAAGTAAATGAATGGATCAAAAAACTATGGTACCTTTACAGAATGGAATTCTATGCAACAGAAAGAAAGAAGGAACTCCTGCCCTTTGAGACAGCATGGATGGATCCGGAGAGCATTATGCTAAGTGAAGTAAGCTAGGCAGTGAAAGACAAATACTGTATGATCTCACCTATAAGTGGAACCTAATCAACAAAGCAAACAAGCAAGCAAAATATAACCAGAGACATGAAATAACAAACTAACAATAACCAGAGGGAAGGTGGCAAGAGGTAAAGTAGGGAAAGAAGGGGGAGGGGTCCTCAAAGAACATGTATAAAGAATCCATGGACAGCCCCTGGCTGGTGTAGCTCAGTGGATTGAGCACGGGCCTGTGAAGCAAAGGGTCACTGGTTCGATTCCCACTCAGGGTACATGCCTGGGTTGCAGGCCAGTTCCCAGCAGGGGACTCAGGAGAGGCAACCATACATTGATATTTCCCTCTCTCCTTCCCCTCTAAAGAGAAATAAATAAAGTCTAAAAAAAAAAAAAAAGAACCCATGGGAAAACCAAAGTGGGGTAGGAATGAGGGTGGGAGGTGAGGGTCATTGGAGTGGGGGAGAGCAGTCAGGAGAAACTGAGAAAACTGTGCTTGAACAACAATTTTAAAAAGTGGAAAAAAATAACCAGAAGTAGAATGTCAGGATCATTCGGTAGTTCTATATTTAATTTTTTGACAAAACTCCACACTGTTTTCCATCGGGACTGCAATTCACTGTGGAGACCCTACTGGCAGTGCACAGGGGCTCCATCCTCGTGGAACATCCTAGAGAGGTTAACACTTGTTATTTCTTGTCATTTTGGTAGTAGTCATGCTAACAGGTGGGGGGTTGTGATTTTTTTTATCATTGTTTCATTCGTATTAATTAACATAGTGCTTATTGAATCCAGGGTAAAATATAGATCTAGCTTTTCTTTTAATTCCAAATATAATCTAGAAGTAAAAAATTAATGGAACATTGCACATTGGAAAATATAATAGTTACAAGTAATAGTCATAATATTTGCAAGCCAAATGTTACACTGGGTTTTTGGTGGGGTCGTTTGTTTGCTTGTTTTAGAGATAGGAAAGGAGAGAGAAAGACATCTGTGGGTGGTTACCTCTCATGTGGCCCCCACTGGGCACCTGGCCTGCAACCCAAGCATGTGCCCTGACTGGGAATCAAACCTGTGACCCTTTGGTTCACAGCCTGTGCTCAATCCACTGAGCTATGCCAGCCAGGTTACAGTGTTTGAATGACCTCATTTTATTGCTTACTATATGCTAGGCACTGGGCTTATTGTATACTTCAGTATAAAAGTAAGATAGATGTGACTAACAGTTTTTGGAGGACAATAAACTGAGAATTGCAATATTATTCAACCTCTTGTTCAAAGTTACATAGATAATTATAAAGCTAACAATATGAACTCAAGTGCATTTTATAATATTTTAAAGTAATGTTTTTTCCCTGAAATGCACTTTCTTCCATACCTTATCTCTACCAAAATAATGTTTCAATAAGCTGGAGTTTGGGAAGAGCTTTCCCCACATATGGGAAAATGAAAGCTGTGTTACTCTGGGCCACTTTGGTTTCATTAGCTAGTGGACACAGTTCTGTACGAGTTACATGATTTCTCTTTTTTTTTTACTTTCTTTTCATTATTGCACTTAGGCAACTTCTAGATAGTCACCATTTAAGTAATAGTAATGAATTGGGAACTAGAATTTAATAAATTACAGGTAAAATATTTTCTTTTGACAGAGAGAAGGAGAAAAGGATCATCAGGTGCGTTTGGCAGTTGGAAATGGTGTGCGGAGTGATGTATGGAAAGAATTTGTAGACAGATTCGGAAATATTAAGATGTGTGAGTTTTATGGAGCAACCGAAGGGAACATTTGTTTTATGAATCACACTGGGCAAATTGGAGCAGTCGGGAGAACAAATTTCTTTTACAAAGTAAGTACCATTTTCTTCTTTACAAAAGAAATACTTTGAGACCTGCCAGCCTGTTTTCTAGCTTTGTGCTTGTACCTTATGGTAAATATCATCACATGTTTTTTTTTTAGTTGAGAACCTCTAAATAAAGTAGTGGCCTCTAGGTGAACTGTATTCTATAGGTTATGAAAACTTCAACCTCCCATATTTTCTTTCTATCATATGGGGATAATGATACCTAATTATTTTGTTTAGTTTTTGAATTTAATGATATAAGTATGAAAAGCAAGCACAGATCCTGATATATATTAATTTGACTCCATTTTCTTTGAGTATTTTTAAAGTATTATTTTTAAATTTTTAAAAAAGGTTTTATTTATTTATCTTTAGAGGGTAAGAGAAGGAGAGAGGGAGAGAAATATCAATGTATGGTTGCCTCTAATGTGTCCCCTGCTGGGAACTGGCTCACACACAACCCAGGCATGTGCCCTGACTGGGAATCAAACTGCGATACTCTGGTAACAGGCCCACACTCAATCCACTGAGATACACCAGCCAGGGCTTCTTTGAGTATTTTTAATCCCTTATTTCTATTTACTTTTCTTCTTTATGTCATTCAAAAATTATGTTTAAGCTTCTAATACATGGTTTATTTAAAAACTATATCAAGATACCACTAAAATCTTAAAAACAGCCGAAAAAAATCACCTTCTTAAGAAAGACTTATAGCTGCATTCTCAATAGCAACCATGGAAGACAAAAGATAGTAGACAGATATCTTCAACGTACTTTGGAGAAAATAATAGTCAAATAGAATAAGTACTCGACAATATTTTTAAAGAATAAAATTGGAAATAAAGAAGATTTCTCACAATTTATATAACCTTCAGGGAAAATAAAATCAGAATTATAGTAGTGTTACAACCAGGTGGACAGTCATTCAGAGCAGGGGTGGGAGTGTCTCAGCCAAGGTGGCAGCAGAGCGAAATTCTTACGCTGAGCCTGCATAAAGCCCTTCCCCACTGCCTCTCCGACACCAGGGGAATATGCACCGTAGAAGTCAAAACGGTGGCAGGGGAGGCTCTGGACCCAAGAGGCCTGTCAGTCTAACCTGGGGAAGGACAGGATTGGTTGGGAGGTGGACCTATCTGAAGCACATGAAAATTTGGGAAGTTGATTGGTCATTTTTAAGAAAGTACTGGGTCTATCCCACACCCAAGCTAATATAGGCCCTGGGGAACAAAGAAACTCTCTCCTGTTCATGGTTCACTACTTGGATGGTGCCCTTGCCTGTTCTCTCCATGGGCCATGTGGCCTTGGAGGTAGAATCAACATGACCGTCTGTCTATCTGTCTGTCTGTCTATCTATCTATCTATCTATTTATCTATCTCTCGTAAACCGGGCGATGCATTTGCTGGTACGGGAATACACGATCTTGTGGCCCTAGCAGCCTCATGGCCCATGGACTCCAGGATGGAGCCTGAAAAGGACAGCAGCCAGGAACAAGTTAAGCTACCTAGATGTCCACTGAGCAACCACCTGCAGGCTCATTTTAAAGGACTTTAAAATGAAGCAGAAACTCTGGACACTGGCTTTTGTTTTGGTTGTGCTGAGGACAACTGGACTTGTCTTGGTCTTGCAGAAGAGATGGACTTTGAGACAGAGACTCCACCATTCTCCCAGATTATGCCCCATCTAAATAAAACCTTTTTTCTTTCTTACCAAATACTGCCACGTGAGTCTGCCTTTTGTGGCAGCAGGCAGATGAAACCATCTTTTTTATTTGGTAACAGAAAGATACATATACATCTCTTTTAATATTTGATAGAACAAAGAAAAACTTCAATGATATATGACATTTGAATAATATTATAAACAAACTACCTGAATTAATGGACACAAATAGGATACCACATCTGAAAGCTACAGCATATTCATTCTTTTCAAGCACTTATGAAAATTCACAAAGATTATTAGGCTACTTAGGGAATTGTAGCAAATTTCAAAAGATTGAATTTATATGGATTGTGTTCTTTGACAACAGTTTAATTAAGGTAAAATAAAAGTTTTAAATGATAGGTAGATCATCTCCTATATGATTGCAAATAAAACATCTCTAAATTTTCATGAGTCAACAAGAAAACCAAACTTAGGAAACAGTTTGAGCTGAATTATAATGAAAATGTTACATTTCAAAATGTGTAAACTGAGATAAGAGCAGCTGAAAATTTGTGGGCTAGATATCAATTTCTATAAGTTAATTTAAAAAACTCAACCCTGGCTGGTTTGGCTCAGTGGACTGAGTGCCAGCCTGTGGACCAAAGGGCCGCTGGTTCAATTCCTAGTCAGGGCACATGCCTGGGTTGCAGGCCAGGTGCCCAGTAGGGGGCATGTAGAAGCAACCCACACACTGATGTTTCTCTCCTTCTCTTTCTCCCTCCCTTCCCCTCTCTAAAAATAAATAAATAAAATCTTTTTTTTTTTTAGTCAAAGAAATAAAATGAAGGAAATAATAAAAAGCAAAAAATTTTTAAGTAGTAAGGAAACATTTCATGTCAAAAAAGATAAAAATATGCTGTAAACTGAAACTAATTCAAAATAATATTGAATTTATACAGTAATTTAAAAATAAAAAGAGATATAAAATATAACTTTTAAAAAGTAAAAAAGTAAATTTGAAGCTGCTGTAAATTGCTCTAATGATTTGCATTCTGAACAAAAGTAATTTGGGGAAAGTAAGTGATTAGATTATTGAGTTTTACATTCCTTACAGTTAATTTTCTCAATTCACTGAACTGATTCCATTAAAAACTGGTGTTTATATTAAAAGCTCCTTTAATGAAACTGTATCATTCCAGAGTAATCATCCCACAGGAGTATAATAAAGAATATTTGTATTTTTATCAGTCTTGACTTTAATGTTCTGATATCTTAAATTCCCTGTCAGATTATAATGATGGCAATAATGCAGGAACTCCTGATGTCTCCTATTTATTTAGAAAATTTCTGATTTTCATATTATTTTAGTTGTATTTCAATTTGGAAATGAAAAAAGTACCTAATACAAATTTTGTCTTTTATCATTTCATTCACGTACTGCTTTTGTTCCATAGCAGGCGATCAGAAAAAAATTGGGCCAATAACTGTTCCATAATTGTATGGGGAGATGTGATAAGTATGTCTCTCAAGAATTTAACCCTCACAGAGGTTTACACTTACTGTCTCAGAAGGGAATCAGGCTCTAAACAGAGATAGGATTTAATAAGTGAAGGGAAAAGATAAGGCAGCAACAGAGGTCCTGTGACCCAAATGTCCTTCTTGTGTGCTGTACTCATTTATCTAAATGCATGAGACTGTAAGGCTGTGTGTCCCATATATGCTCCCAAAGCAAACAATATAACACATTTGGTGACAACTCATTTGAGAAAACAAACTCAAGTAAAAGTTATGGACTTGCCTTCTTTTCTACACCTAGAGGTAGCATTTGAGAAAAGGCGCAAACGTGAAATCCCCAGGGGAAATAAAACTTGCAAAGTGGGCGGAAGGTAAGTCTAAATAAAAAGCAGCTGAAAAAAATATGGATGCACATCAAAATAATAAGTCCTCCAACATGGCCAGGAAATATTTAGAAAAACAATTTCCTATAGGTTAAAAAATTGCATTAATACGTCTCCTATTTATTTAGAAAATTTCTGATTTTCAAATTATTTGTTGTTTTTTCAATTTGGAAATGAAAAAAGTACCTAATCCAACTCCTTTAAAAACAAGAGCTCAAAGAAGACAAAAGTACAAGGAAAACCTGAATCAACAAAAGGAGTTGGGAAGTATGTCTGCTCAGCTCTGAAAAATAAATTCATAAAAGGAAAACATGGAAGTATTACAGTGATGATCATCACTAAAGGACTTAAGCAAGACTGTAAACATCATCAGGGAGCAAGATGGATGGGACTGAGGGGTCACACAAACAAAAGAATATGCATATAATATAAAATTAATTTGAAATCAAACACAGTGTTCCAACATATGCTTAATTGGTGTTCTTGCAGGAGGAAAAACAACAAGTCATTTAAAACCTAACAGAAGAAGACTTCCTTAAACTAAAGATTTGAGTATTTAGCAAAAGAGCACATTGTATTCCAGAGTAGGAGGGTAGGGTGAAATATGGTACAGAATGATCATCAGAAAAATATACCCCGGTGAAATTATTGAACATAAAGAACCATAAGGAAATGCTGAGGCTGAAAAAAACAAAGGATAGGCTGAAAATATGTCTGTACATACACATCAAGGGCATATTAACGTGTGGCACCTAGTTTTTTGTGTGTATTATAAGAGCCATTTTTTATAATCTTGTGGGACCTCTTGAAAGCAGGAAAAAATATAGAAATCCCTCTGGCTGAGACTTAATGCTCTGATCCTGACTACTTCTAGAAGATGCTGTGATATATGTAAGTTTCATTTGTATTATAAAATCACCCAATTTCTGACCATCGAGTCGCCTGTATCTGATAACGGGCACACTGAACAGTGATTTAGTGCAGAAAGAATATCAGCCACATATGTGGCTGCCAAATTAATTGAAAACAAATAACCCTAAAGTTGATAATGGCCAGTTGGTGGGCAAATTTTTCAAAATACAAAGCATGTTAAAACAGCAGAGAAAAGGTTGAATAAGGAACAGGGCTCTGTTTTTCTTTGGCCAACATGATAAATGCAGTTCCGGGACTTCTGGAATCTTTCTTTTTACCAGTCATTAGGCAAGTGGCCAATATCCTGTTATCCCAATTACAGACAAAGACCAACAAGATGCAGTCTTGCATTTTAATAAAGATTCTTTATGTCTGGAATAACAATATATTTTGCTTTGCAACCTCTTTCCTTGGACCTCATCTTAGAATAATACTAATTTCTACCTCATAGAGTGTCTTGACAATTAAATACTGCTCTTAAATTCTTAGCACAGTGGCATACTCTAAGTGCCCAATCAATATTAGTTGCTCCCTTTTAGATTTTAATTCAAATAATGAATTGTGATTGTAGCTGTATGCTGATTTTATTGAGATTAAAAACCAGAGATATTTGGGTTTAGTCTTTTATAATAAATAATTCCATTACATTTATCTCATCAATTTTATTCATCTTTTCCCACTTATTTGTTCTATATTTGTTCATTTCTCATGTCCTCTTGGCCCTTCTCCTATTTATTTGTCCTTTTTTACTATTTTTTTCTCATTTCGTTTTATCACCTCCATTTCAGTTTACTATTTTCTAATTTAGCTTAATTAATAAGATTGCTTACTTAATTGATCAGGAAAAGCTCGATGTAAAATGAGGGGGGGTGGATTGAATCCATCCGTCCTCTTTCCCAGGGTCAGATGTTAGTGACTCTGTGACTCTGCCCGACATGGCAATAATGGACATTTCAGGAACAGGGCAGCTGGCCGTATTTGGCAACAAAGAGAGATGTCCAACAAGCTTGGTACCCAGCATGATCAGGATGGTCCAACAAACCTGCCACCTCTCACCACAATAGTGCGCAGAAGTACCGAGTGTTAGATTAGGGACATTAGGTCAAAGCCCCGTGGGAAAGGTCACAATGTCAGATAACAAGTGCTTTTTAGGCATCTGATCCCTTTTCAAGAGATTGTAAGTTAAAAATAGGCAATAAAATCCCTGCATTCCCATAGTTCACATTTTAGTTCTATCAAAACTTTCCATTTCAAAGTATGTTTCAAATGAATTCAAAAGGAGAAGGCGAGAAGTGGTCCTCTTCCCTCTAGTTAATAGGAAATGTAGTCAAGCTCAAGGCTTGCTTGTATTCACTCATTCAGCATTAAAATTAGTAATGTTTTGTCAAAGAATGTGCAACATAAAAGAAATGAAAGTAAATGCTAGTACATGAGTGCTGTTAATTAATACCTTCAGTTTTGATGTCTCAATATTTAGTTATTTCATCAGCAAAGGCTCTTTCTTTTAATAAATCACATTCTAATTCATTTCAATTAAGCATAAAATCTACCAGTAGATGTCACTGCACAAATGACTAAATCGTGTTTTCATTCGATTTTTTTTTTTGCAGGTTTTTTTCAATTTTGACTTGATAAAGTATGATTTTCAGAAAGATGAACCCATTCGGAATGAACAGGGCTGGTGCAGCCGTGTGACAAAAGGTAACACTGCGTGAAGATGCCACCTCAGGCATGGTTTCTGAATTTCCTTTTAAATTACTTACTAAATTCAGAAAAGAAAGTGGGTATTTCTAACATGTAATATGACTTACTTGGAAGTTCAATGTAGGCAGAATGATTTAATTAGTAGATCTTAGGGGCACTCAAAGTCTCTCAGATCATAAATTATTAAAATTTAAAAGTGATTACTGTTGGGCTCTTATTTTTCTTAATCCACCACTTTTGGTTTGTGACAGTGGCATAATGTGCCATGTCCTATATCACCAAAACACAACATAAAAGCGAATGACTTAATTTAACATTGTAGGTGTAGTGGGAAGTCAGGCAGATGTGAATTTAAATCTGGGCTTGCGCACACAGAAACTGTACTGCTGTGAGAAAGTCACCCAAGCTGTCCAAGTCTCATTTTCTTCGTATGTAGAGTAGAGGTGACATACTTATTTCATGAGATTTACATGAGAAGATGCAGGGTGTCCAGCCCGTGGCCGGTGGGCCGCATGTGGCCCAGGAAGGCTATGAATGCAGCCCAACACAAAATCGTAAATTTACTTAAAACCTTTGTTTTGCTCATCAGCTTTCATCAGCATTTGTGTATTTATGTGTGGCCCAAGACTGCTCTTCATCCACTGGCCCAGAGGTGCCAGAAGATTGGACACCCCTGGTAGGCAAAGTCCTGCAGAAGGCCTGGTGTGTTGCTTGGCCACCCCCCCACCCACTCTCTCTGCCCTTTCACTCTTCTTCCTCCCTTAAGGTAGACTTTCTTATAACTTTTGGTTAGAAATTTTAATGACAGCAAGTGCTCCAATTAACTTGCCACTACATATAATTATTCTAGAAAACTAAATGTATAGCTGTGCACTTAGAATGGTTTGGTGCTCCAGTCCGAATAAATCTGGCCACAATTACTTTTTTTGTGCCTCAAAATGTTTAAACTACATTTCAGAGATGATATCCTTCTAATCTTTACTTCAGCTGTGGAGATCAAGGTTGCAAACCTGGTTTTTGTTTTGTTTTGTTTTTCCTGACAGCTGAAACACTGGAAAAAATATAAACCTTTCCTATCAAAAAACAGACTTCCCAGTCTTCTGCATCTCAAGCCTAAGGGCATTTATCAAATATCTTTCCTTAATTGAACTTTATAGGTAGTATTCAAGAGAAAAGCCATTTCTAAAGGGATTACAAAGAATTTCATTTAAACACACTTTGTTAATTTGTTTTGTTTTGTTTTGTTTTACAATTACAATAATATCTGATTTTGGAACTTGAATCCCAGAACTGCTTCTTTCTACCTTGCTGTTCTCATTATGGATTACTAAATATTTTATTTTTCCATTAAAGCATTGTGTCTTGCATAAATTATGCCTATAAAGGATAGATGCGAAAACACTCTGACCTTTTAAGCATTTGTAATAATTGATTTCTCAGGAAGAAACTGTCACTTGTGTCCTGAAAAAGAAAGACAACCTAAAGTTTAAGGGAAATGTGAGGCTTGGAAATGCTGAATTGTAGTGTGTACGGATTGATGGAACATGCAGTGGAGGGGACGCTTTGGAGTCAGGTGGACCTGGTCAAAGAAAAATTCCATCCCCAACAAATGGCTGCTATATGCCACAAGGAAAATACATTTCTTTTATTTCCTCAATATTTTTAGCTATAAAATAAAGATTTTATAAGGGCCCTCCCTGTCTTACAGGTTTGGGATAAGACTCAGGTTGGATACATATAGAAAGTGCTCAGAATAGTGATTGGTACCCAAAAAGTGCTCAATATGTGTAATGAAGATGAGGATAATGATGGGGATGTCGACAATGACCATGAGGAGGAGCAGTCTCTGCCGCAGCAGCGCAGGCTTGTTCTGACCTCCACTCCAGTGAGTGCTCTTGGAGCCAGAATGTCCAGAAGGTGTGGAAGTAGTTTTGAGTTGAAAAGAGAGTTTTAAAAAAACAAACAAACAAACTGGAATTCAGTCCATTTCACTCATCAAGAGGATGATGACTCTCTTCACAAAGGGCGAAGCAAATCAGCAATGGCCTTGAAATCTTATGGGGCAGTGATTGCCGCTCTCTCCCTTGTCTTCTACCCTTTTCCTAGAAGTAGTTGTTCACCTTGCAAATTGCTGTCCAAAATCTTGATTCATTTGAATAAATGTGATTGAAAAATTTTTTTGATAATATGTCTAAAAGTAAAACTAATAAATTTCAAGTCTCGTCTCTTGCCCATTGAGAATTTCCAGGCTACCATACTAGAGGAAGAAAACATTTTCCTAAATTTCCAATAACATTAATTAGACTAGAGATAGTATTATACAAAAACCTTGTTGCAAAATCATTAAGACTTGAATTTGAGTACAACATACATTCCTTTATATCTGCTGGACTTAGGTAAATGACTTTATTCTTTGGAGCCCTTCTTCCTTCCCTGTGATACAGGGATTTTAATTATCAATTTCAAAGGATTTCTGTGAAGAATAAACAAGATGGCAGTTGCAGAGGGCATATGGGGCTTGCTACCTAGTAAGTGCCCAATGAATAAGGCTACTATCATAACCTTCTTAAAATTATTGCCATGGTGTTTTTTATATCATTGCCATTATTATCAGTGGTAAAATCTACATAATCCAAAAGAAAGGTAGCCATTGTTCTACCCACCCAGGATGTATGTACCTTTTTTCACATTCAGTTTCCTTTTTGTTAGTTTTTCCAAAGTTACTTGCATTTTTGACAGTCCACGAAACGATGTGTTTGTTTGCTCTAAGCACCCAGAGCAAATTATGTCAAATATAATAAAAATAAGTTCAGAGGAAAGGAAGATAGGCAACACCAGTTGTGTCTGTCAGATATAAATTAGGTACATGCCTGCTGTGTATAATAATCCTTTTAATCAAATCACTGAAGAATGCCTTTTTCTCACAGGAGAACCTGGACTTCTCATTTCTCAAGTGAATGAAAACAATCCCTTCTTTGGTTATGCTGGGAATAAGAAGCACACAAAAAAGAAATTGTTATGTAATGTTTTTAAGAAGGGAGATGTTTACTTTAACACAGGAGATTTAATGGTCCAAGATCAGGAGGATTTCCTTTACTTTTGGGACCGTCTTGGAGACACCTTCAGGTATGAGACATCGTCAGTCACACTGCCTGTTCAGTGACTGGGAACCCTGCTCACAGCAAGGCTCTAAGGAAACATTTCAGACCTGTGCTCTTTACCTTCAGGGCAGACACAGCCTTTTATCTCAATCATGTGTCCCCATTTAAAAAAACCATTAACTGTTTCTAGGTTGAACATAAATTGAATTTTTATGTCAATTTTTATAATTATTTTAATGACTCCATTTGGTTCAATTAATAAGCTTCCTTTTTTTAGAACATCAAACAAGTAGATGGACATGGAGTCTAAATGGTAGGGTTAAAACAAAACGAGGCTGGTGTAGCTCAGTGGATTAAGAGCCAGCTTGTGAACCAAAGGATTGTGGTTCGATTCCCAGTCAGGGCACATGCCTGGGTTGCAGGCCAGGTCCCCAGCATGGGGCGTGCAAGAGGCAATCACACATTGATGTTTCTCTCCCTCTCTTTCTCCTTCCCTTCCCCTCTCTCTAAATAATAAATAAATAAACTCTAAAAAAAAGAAAAAGAAAGTAATTTCAACTAAAAAATTGATTTTGTTGATTTCATCGACTTATCAACAAAGCACATCTTTAAACAGTGCCTTTTGGCCCTGTCTGGTGTGGCTTGGTTGGGTGCTGTCCTGCAAAGCAAAAGGTTGCCAGTTCCTGGTCAGGTACCAGGGCACGTACTAGAAGCAACCAATCATTGTTTATGTCTCACACCAATGTTTCCCTCCTTTCTCCCTCCCTCCCCATCTCCCTAAAAAATAAATAAATAAAAATAATAACATAATAAATCATTTATCTAAAAATGCCTTTTGTTTTGAAAACTGCCATCATTTTGGTTGCTTGGTGCTTGCCCAGAGCCAAATTCTCCAAACATAGGTGTGCTAAATGGAACTTCTTTTTCATTTAGATGGAAAGGGGAAAACATTGCAACCACGGAGGTTGCTGATGTTATTGGAATGTTGGATTTCATAGAAGAAGCAAATGTCTATGGTGTGGCTGTGCCAGGTATGAATATATTTCAGGTTTTAGAAGAATTCTCAGAAAATGTACAAACTTTTCTTTAGTTTGCAATCATCTCACTAATTCAACATTTTGGTTTTTATATATCCAATAATTATCTTCATCTTGTCATGATAAATAATGCCCTACAGAGGAAAAGTACCCATTGAATTTTGTAATGATTTTTTAAATTTTAGTGTGGGTCGATTTTTTTCCCCCATTGAAATTTAACGTGTGTGTGTGTTTTTAAGTAAAGTTTAAAAACTCTGGTCAGTGACTCACTGTTTGACCATAGTTACAGCTTTTCAATAATCTCATTTTTCTTTTCTTTTTTTTTTGGGGGGGGAGCATTAAAAGTTTACTGCCATGGAGAGACATACACAGTGAAAGAAGCTTATCCTGAACAAAGCCAAGCAAAGAAATCACATTAACAGGGGTGAAGATACAGTTGCTTATCTTATCTGCTTCCTTTTTAAACTATATTTTATTGATTATGCTATTACAGTTTCCCCAATTTTTTCCCCTTTATCTCCCCTCTGCCCTGTACCCCCCAACCCTTCAGCATTCCCCTTAGTTCATGTTCATAGCTTGTACATATAAGTTCTTTAACTTCTCTGTTGCCTATACCATTCTCAACCTCTCCCCGTCTATTTTGTGCCTGCCAATTATGCTTCTTATTCCCTGTATCTTTCTCCTGCCATTCTTCTCCTTCCCCGCCATGTAATGTCTATTTCTCTGATTCTGTTCCTGTTCTAGTTGTTTGCTTAGTATTTGTTTTTGTTGTTTTGGGTTTTTTAGGTTCACTTGTTGATAGTTCTCAGTTTGTTGTCATTTTATTGTTCATAGTTTTTGATCTTCTTCAATTTTCCTTTAACATTTAACATTTCATATAATAATGAAATTATTATATTTTAACATTTATAATAATTATTAATAATATTATTATTAATATTATTGATATTGATTAATAATTAATTGATCATTAATTAATAATTAATTAACATTTAACATTTCATATAATAATGGCTTGGTGATGGTTGAACTCCTTTAACTCGACCTTATCTGGGAAGCACTTGATCTGCCCTTTCATTCTAAATGAAAGCTTTGCTGGATAAGGTAATCTTGGATGTAGATCCTTGCTTTTCATGACTTAGAATACTTCTTTCCATCCCCTTCTTGCCTGCAAGGTTTCTTTTGAGAAATCAGCTGATAGCCATATGGGCACTCCTTTGTAGGTAACTATCTCCTTTCTTCTTGCTGCTTTAAGATTCTCTATCTTTAATCTTGAGTAACTTAATGATGATGTGCCTTGGTGTGTTCCTCTTTGGGTCCAACTTCTTTGGGACTCTCTGGGCTTCCTGGACTTCCTGGAAATCTATTTCCTCCACCAGATTGGGGAAGTTTTCCTTCATTATTTGTTCAAATAAGTTTTCAACTTCTTGTTCTTGTTCTTCTTCTGGCACCCCTGTGATTGGATATTGGAACATTTAAAGTTGTCCCAGAGGCTCCTAAGCCTCTCTTCATTTTTTTGAATTCTTGTCTCTTCCTTCTGTTCCAGTAGATGTTTATTTCTTCCTTTTGTTCCAAATCATTGATTCAAGTCCTGGTTTCCTCCCTGTCACTGTTGGTTCTTTGAATATTTTGCTTTATTTCGCTTTGCATAGCCTTCATTTGTTCTTTCATTTTGCGACCAAGCTCAGTTTGTGAGCATCTTGATTACCAGGGCTTTAAATTCTCTGTCAGATAGGTTGGCTGTCTCCTCATTGCTTAGCTCTCTTTCTGGAGTTTTGCTCTGTTCTTTCGTCTGGGCCATATTTCTTTGTCTCTGTGCAGCTGTTACATTATAAGGAGGCGGGGTCTTAGGTATTCACCAGGGTGGGGCAACCTTCTTTGCTGTAGTTTATCGCTGTCAGTCTGGTTGGTCTGGCTGACTGTTTCTTTAATCCCTTGGTTCTTGGGAGTTCCATGCAGTTTGATTTTCTGACACTTCTGGTTGTTTATCAATTTTAGATTGGTTGTTAACCTCCTTTTGGTTGTTGGAGGAAGCGAAAGGTTTCTACCTACATCTCCATCTCGGCCGGAACTTTATCGGCTCCCTTCACAATGCCCATTTTTGTTTGAGTGATATTATTTTTCTCTTTGTGACTAGAGTTTACATGTGGCCACACTAAACAGAAATGTGTTCTAGTTTAAAAATTTAATAACACTAATTTGTAGTTAAGTTTAATTTTTTAAAAATTACTTATTTAAAAGTTGTTTGGCCTCGTTTATTTTTATGAACATGCAGGGTTATATTATGATGGTAGAAATGGTAAATAAAAGTGACTGACATGAAATCACAAGATTCCTCTCCACTTTCTTTTTTTTTTTTAACTAATGACAATATTTTCCAGCTAATGTTTGTAGGTGCTTGAGGACATGGGGGTAGGGATGAGCACGTGCACGGGGGAGCAGAGGAGGCGGGCGTTTCCTCTGACAGCCGCCGCTGGGTGCTGCAGAAGTGCTGGAGAAGTGCAGAAGTGCGGGAGGCTCCGGTCCCTGGGAAGGACCACGGGCGGCCTAACAGGCAGCAAGTGATCTGCGGGTTTAGTTATGAAAATACCTAAACTGGTCTGTGGTTTCTGACCTTAAAACTATACCCTTTATTTTTTACATGGGTGCTTATTATGGACATTTCTCTGGAATATATTTGTCTTTAAATAAATTTTTCTCTTCATATTTTATATTAATGGTGGTAAGAGGCAAATCATGGGTCGTTTATGGTGTTTTCCATTCCACCTGTTTTATTTTTGTGGTGTAGGCAGTTAGGGACAGACTCTGCCCTTCCCTGTTCCCAAATTATTTCGAGAGAGTTAATTATACGCTCAGGGAAGGACCCACTCCTACCCTCCCATTGCATCGTCTTTACTGCAGTAGTTTAGTGTCTCCCTTTTTAGCAATTGGTATACAATTGACAGTATTATTTTCAAAATTCACCTGGTACTCGTAAAATAAACTGTATTTCAAACTTTTTTTTCAGATTGTGAAGGGAAAGCAGGAATGGCCTCTATTATTTTAAAACCAAATAAATCTCTAGACTTGGAAAGAGCTTATGAACAAGTTGTAACATTTCTACCAGCTTATGCCTGCCCACAGTTTTTAAGAATTCAGGTAATTTTGCTGTCTGAATTTTAAGAAGTAAGGTAATTTTATTTAGCCATAAAATTTAAAACCAAGAATCCTTTGGAGATAGATTAATTAAAAAATAATATTTTATCCTTTAGCTAATATGTGCATTTTATTTATATTAGATAAATTTTATTTATATTAGAGAATTTCAAGAGCAATGAAAAGTCTGGGGATGCTAATTTATGCCATATTTGAAACCTAATTATAGAAGGTGGAGCATGATAAAATGCTAAGAGGTCTTTGTCCTAATTTCCACAAATGACTGAAATTGTATGGTATTTATCTTTCTCTAACTGTTCTATTTCACTTAGCATAATATTCTCTATGTCCATCCATGCTGTTGCAAAGGGTTAAATTTTATTCTTCTTCATGGCCAAATAGTATTCCATTATTTAAATATACCATCAAAGTACTATTTATAGTAGTAAAAATGCTTATGTTCTAAAATCAATAATAAGAGGGAGGTTACTTAAAATATTATAATTAGATGACATGACACCATTAAAAAGTGCTGTTTTGATGAAAATTATCTAACCTGGAGAGATTTACCTGGCATACTATGTTTTTTAAGGCAGAACATCAAACTGTATAAATATAGTGAACTTCTACTTTTTTTTTTAAAAAGAGAAAAAAAATATGTGTTTCATTTAGCATAACCCCGTCTAGGTCCATCTATGTTGTTGCAAATGGTAAAATTTCATTCTTTTTTATGTCTGAGTAATATTCCATTGTACGTATGTACCACCACTTTCTTATCCACTCAACTATTGATGGGCACTTGGATTGCTTCCATTTCTTGGCTGCTGTAAATAGCACTGCAGTGAACATCAGAGAAATAAGTCAGACAGAGAAAAACAAATACAACATGATTTCACTTATATGTGGACTTTAAAGAGCAAAAGAAGCAAACAAACAGTAAAAACAGATTCATAGATACAGAGATCAGACTGATGGTTGCAAGAGGGGAGGGGTGTTAGGAAGTGTACTAAAAAAGGTGAAGGGGTTAAGAAATACAAGTTAATAATTACAAAATAGCCACAGGGAAGCACAGTACTGTATAGGGAATATAATCAGTAATACTGTGATAACTATGTATGATGATAGGTGGGTACTTGAAATATCGGGGCCCAGCCTTGTAAAGTATCTGATTGTATAACCACTGTACTGTACCCTGAAACTAGTGCAAAATAATGTTGAATGTAAACTGTAATTGAGAAATAAAAATAAAAAAAATTTAAATATGTGTTTCTACACAGTCACCTCTAATTCTGTGGTGACATTGTTGGGTAGAAGAGGGGTGAGAATGGATGGGATCAGGGAAGGAGTTTCAAAGAGAAATTGACTCTAAAAGGCTTAGTCTAAAAGGATAAATCAAAATGACCAAGTTACTCATAGACCTTTACACGGAGCAATACATGTCATCTGTTTTAAAACAAGGTTGAGTCTCAGTGCTTGAAACTGCCACAGAGAGTCCACTGTCATCTCCTTTAAACCCCTTAAAGCAGAGACTCTTCAACTTTCTAGATTGGTGGCATCTTTAGTGTCTCAGTAATTACTTTATGATACTCTTTCAACCAAAACAAATACCTAAACACTCATTTATTCAGTAGTTAGTGCAAAACAAATTAGTAAGTACAGATCTAACAAAGTACTTGCCATTTGAAAAAATAATGCATATATATTGAAAGAAACATGCTTTTATTTCATTTTCAAATAACCACAATTGCTAAAGATGTGTACATTGAGTATTACACAACTCTTCAAGCCTTGGAATCGGACTGACTGAACAAGGTCAGCCTACCTCCGTGTTCACACTGATTTGGGGCTGGATTTGCTTTTTACTGTAGCTCTCCTGAAACTGTTTCACAAAAATATGACATCGTTGATAAGAATGTAACACAAAGTAATACTAAGCTAGTAGTTTGCCAGTGGTGACTGACAGATGTCACTGGGTTTATTTGGAAATTTAAAATATTCTGTGAAGAACCTGGAAATTCACTGAGGTTCCACAATGCACCTCAGTGCATAGCTTGGAAACTCAAGCTTTAGATCATTCTTTCCTCCTTCCAGTTCATAAAATGTTCTTCCTGATGGAATAGATTGCTGTCTTTTACATTTTTTATATTGTTGGTGTCAAATGGCATTCTTTGTACATCATTTTGTATTGACATTGAATTGAAGAGTTAATGTTTCTTTGGCATATTTGTAATCAGTTGTAATCAGTTGTTGACTATGTTCATAATTTTTATTGTTGAATCAAGTTCACAGGTAAATCAAGCTAAAGATTTAAATATTTCAGACGGCATATTTTATTCCTAGTGTTAAATTACTAGTAGTGCATAGAAACGGCCTCTGGGTATGAAAATGTTATAACTCAATATTACAGTCTATGTTGTTAAATGTGTTAACTTATGTATTGTAATAATATTAAATCATTTCACTAATCTTGGTCATTGCTTTGTAGGAAAAGATGGAAGTGACAGGGACATTCAAACCAAAGAAGTTTCAGTTGGTGCAAGAAGGATTTAGTCCATTGAAAATTTCTGATCCACTTTACTTCATGGACAACTCGAAAAAAGCTTATGTTCCATTGACCAAAGAACTGTATGATCAAATCATACTAGGTGAGGTCAGACTCTAAGGTTTGGTCAATCTGTGGCATTTCCATATGCTTTCTCAGGAGAGGCGAGAGGAGGGTACGTGGCTCTCAGTGCAAGACGAGGAAAGGAACTGACATTCACTAAGCATGTGCTGTATTTCCTCACTGTGCAACTGCTTTTCTTTAATTAAGAACTTTAATTTGTTTTAATACAAACTCTAGTGTATTATTCTTTTTACCTATTTGGGGATTCAGTGCATAACTAAAAATTTGCCTTAATCAAAACTTTTAAATAATAAATAAATGGGTAATTTTTAGATATTTAATAAGAATGTACTTTTTAATACTTAAAATTTCTAGTTTTGAATACATGGTTAAATTTTACTCAAATGTTTAATTTTTATGTGCCCTGTCCTGTTATTCAATAAAATCATCTTCATTAATAATGTGTTTTGAGGTTCTGTTCTGATTTTTTTTGGTCTTTTTTTTATTGATTATGCCATTACAATTGTTTTTTTTTTAATTTATTTATTTTTTTGAATTGATTATGCTGTTACAGTTGTTCTATTCCCCCCTTCATTCCCCTCCACCCTGCCCCCCCAACCCCACCACCACCCCCCTTTAGTTTATGTCCATGTGTCTCAAGTCCTTTAGGTTCTATATTTCCCAAACTATTCTCGCCCCCCCCATCTATTTTCTATCTACTGTCCACGCCACTTGTTTTCTGTACCTTCTCCCCCCATCTCCTCCTCCCACTCCCCTGTTGCTAACCCTCCTTGAGATCTTCATTTCTATGTTTCCACTCCTGATCTAGCTGTCCTTTTAGTTTGCTTTTGTTTTAGGTGTGGTTGTTAATAACTGTGAGTTTGTTGTCCTTTCACTGTTCATGTTTCTTTAACTTCTTTTTCTTAGATAAGTCCCTTTAACATTTCATATAATAAGGGCTTGGTGATGATGAACTCCTTGAATTTGGTCTTATCTGAGAAGCACCTTATCTGTCCTTCCGTTCTAAATGAAAGTTTTGCTGGGTAGAGCAATCTTGGTTGTAGGTCTTTAGATTTCATGACTTGGAATATTTCTTTCCAGCCCCTTCTTGCCTGTAAGGTCTCTTTTGAGAAATCTGCTGACAGCCTGATGGGGACTCCTTTGTAGGTGATTGTCCCCTTAGCTCTTGCTGCTTCCAGGATTCTTTCCTTCATTTTAATTTTGGCTAATGTAATTATGATATGCCTTGGTGTGTTTCTTCTTGAGTCCAACTTTTTTGGTACTCTCTGGGCTTCTTGGATTTCTTGGAAGTCCGTTTCCTTTGCCAGATTGGGGAAATTTTCTTTTATTATTTGTTCAAATAGTTTTTCCACTGGTGGTTGTGACTTTCCCCCTTCTGGTACCCCTATAATTCGGATATTGGAGCGTTTAAAGATGTCCTGGAGGTTCCTAAGACTCTCCTCATTTCTTTGAATTTTTGCTCCTTGACTCTTTTCTGTTTGGCCATTATTTGCTTTCTTCTGGTCCACTGCATTGATTTGAGTCCCAGTTTCCTTTTCATCTCTATGGGTTTCCTGGGGAATTCCATTCATTTCCCTTAATTTAGCCTTCATATGTTTCTCTAATTTGTGGCTATAATCCACCAGATCTGTGAGGAAGGTGATGACCAGTGTTTTAAACTGTGCGTCTGAGAGTTTTGCTATTTCTTCATCATTTAGATTTATCTCTGGGGCTTTGAGTTCTGCCTGCGACATTTTTGGTCTGTTCTGGCCCTTTAAGTGGGAAAAGCGGCGCCTTGGAGTCCCAGGTCGCTGGGTTGTGACGCTGTATGTGGGGGCGTGGTCAGAGCAGGGAAATGGCGCGCCGCCAGTCCAACCGCTCACTCCCTCACTCGCGCGCAACCAGGCAACCACAGTCAACTCGCTGCCACCGCCTCCCCACTGTGTCCTCTGTAGTCGCTCACCCGGTGGGCTGCTCGGTGGCTCACTAGGTCCAATCCTGGGTTTGGAACCCGCGCGACTGGATTCGCGCGTCTGGATTCCGCGCCCGGGTCCGACCGAGCCCTCCTTTGTAAGTCCTCACCCGACGCCGGTTTCGCCCCTTACCGGTCGGGCCGAAGAATTTGTTGTTAGCGGACTTCCGAAAAGTTCAGTTTTCCGTGTTCTGGTTGTGTTTTCTGATGCTAATATTTAGTTGTCCCTAAACTTGGTTGTGTGAGGAGGCACGGCACATCCAGCTAAACCTCCATCTCCTTTTCCCCTACAATTGTTCTATTACCCCCCTTCATTCCCTTCCACCCTACCCCCCCCGTCACCACCATTACCCCCCCTTTAGTTTATGACCATGTGTCTCAAGTTCTTTAGATTCTATATTTCCCATACTATTCTTGCCCCCCATCTATTTTCTATCTACTGCCTATGCTACTTATTCTCTGTACCTTCTCCCCTTCTCCTCCTCCCACTCCCCTGTTGCTAACCCTCCTTGAGATCTTCATTTCTATGTTTCCACTCCTGATCTAGCTGTCCTTTTAGTTTGCTTTTGTTTTAGGTGCAATTGTTAATAACTGTGAGTTTGCTGTCCTTTCACTGTTCATGTTTTTTTAACTTCTTTTTCTTAGGTAAGTCCCTTTAACATTTCATATAATAAGGGCTTGGTGATGATGAACTCCTTGAATTTGGTCTTATCCGAGAAGCACTTTATCTGTCCTTCCATTCTAAATGAAAGTTTTGCTGGATAGAGCAATCTTGGTTGTAGGTCTTTGGATTTCGTGACTTGGAATACTTCTTTCCAGCCCCTTCTTGCCTGTAAGGTCTCTTTTGAGAAATCAGCTGACAGTCTGATGGGAACTCCTTTGTAGGTTATTATCCCCTTAGCTCTTGCTGCTTCTAGGATTCTCTCCTTCATTTTAATCTTGGCTAATGTAATGATGATGTGCCTTGGTGTGTTCCTTCTTGGGTCCAACTTCTTTGGGACTCTCTGAGCTTCCTGGATTTCCTGGAAGTCTATTTCCTTTGCCAGATTGGGAAAATTCTCGTTTATTATTTGTTCAAATAAGTTTTCCACTAATGGCTGTTCCTTTCCCCCTTCTGGTACCCCTATAATTCATATGTTGGAGTGTTTAAAGATGTCCTGGAGGTTCCTAAGACTCTCCTCATTTTTTTGAATTCTTGCTTCTTCACTGTTTTCTGTTTGGCCATTATTTGCTTTCTTCTGGTCCACTCCATTGATTTGAGTCCCAGTTTCCTTTTCATCGCTATTGGTTTCCTGTGCAATTCCATTCATTTTAATTAGTTTCGCCTTCATATGTTTGTCTAATTTGTGGCTATAATCAACCAGTTCTGTGAGGATCCTGATGACCAGTGTTTTAAACTGTGCGTCTGAGAGTTTTGCTATTTCTTCATCACTTCGATTTATAGGCTCTGGGGCTTTGAGTTCTTCTTGAGCCATTTTTGGTCTGTTTGTGTCCTTTAAGTGTGAGGAGTGGAGCCTTGGACTCCCGGGTCGCTGGGTTGTGACGCTGTATGTGGGGGCGTGGTCAGAGCCGGGAAATGGCGGCACCCTCTGCTGTTTCGCTGCTGGGTGAGGAGCAGAGCCTTAGGTGGTTCACCATGGCCGGACCACTCGGAGTGGCTGGGTTATGACACTGTAAGTGGAGGCGGGGTCAGAGCGGGGAAATGGCGGCGCACTCCCCTGCCGCTTGCCAGGTGGACCAGCTGGGTCCCAGTCTAATCGCCCACTCCCTCGCTTGTCTATCTGCGCACGAATGCGCGACCACAGTCAACCCACAGCCCTGCTCCCTCGCTGTTACCCCGCAGTCGCTGGGTCTCTCACTAGGTCCAACCCAGCACCTGGATTCCGCGCGCCTGAATCCGTCTGACCAAGTTTTTCTGTGCTACCCAGCTCCGCCAGCTGCTGGTTTCGCCCCTTAACGGTCAGGCTGAAGAATTTGTTGTTAACAGACTTCTGAAAAGTTCAATTTTCTGTGTTCTGGCTGTGTTTTCTGTTGCTAATATTTAGTTGTCTCTAAACTTGGTTGTGTGAGAAAGCAAGGCGTCTCCACCTATGCCTCCATCTTGGCGGAAGTCGCCTGTTCTGATATTTTTTATTGTAAATGTCCAGTCAAAGGAAACTGACTAAATGCATGCACTCCTGTCTCCCATATCTTAAACACACATTAAAATGGTAGAAGAAAATATAAAACTGTGAAACTACATAGAAGGAAAACAGGTAAGCCCAAAGGATTCCGGAATTTTTCAAGACATAAATGGGATCAAATTCACAGTAAAATTCAGTAGAGCTATAGAAACCACTTATAATACATGGAAAGAAGAAACTAGGATATAACAGGATTTAACACCAAGATCAGAGGCAGGAAGGGCTTTGAGCGGGACAGGGCCGTGAGTGGCTGACTGGGACCACAGTACAAGGTATTATAATGAGCACGTTGTACAAATCTCAGTCTGGAAGCACCAGCCACACAAATGACTCTCTTAACAATGCTCTCTTCCATGGGAGGGGATTATTTTATTTATTATTTATTCATTAGCAAATATATATCACACATCTGAGAAGTAGCTGCAGAGGCCCAAGTACAGGAAAGAATTTGAAGTGTTGGATGAACAGAACAGAGGCTTTTACTCCCTGTGGCTTGAGCACAGCAAAGGCAGAGGAGAAAACTTTGCTAGAGATGAACCTGTAGGCAAAGTGTTTGGATTTGATTTCAAATGCAGTGAGAAATGATGGAAATAGTTGAATCATGGAAAAGACACTATTAGAAAGATGATACTAACTGCTATGTGGGAATCAGATTGGGAAATGAGGAAAATAAACTAGTTAGAACTACATGTTTTGGTGAGTTTTATGGTTCGGTCAACTTTGGAAGGCTGTGGTGCGCAGTTTGGGCAAGCACTAGTGTAGGTGTGAGTGTATTTCATATATGTGATTAAGTTTACAATCAGCTAATATTAAGAGATGTGGGTGTGCCTCATCCAATCAGGTAAAGACCTTAAGGATAAACTCACGTTTCCTAGAGAAAGAATTCTGCCTCCAGAGTGTAATGCAGAAATCCTGCTTCAGTTTCCAGCCTGCTGACCTGCCGTAGAGATTTCTGACTTGCCAGCCCTTATGATTGTATGAGTCTGTTGTAGACCACTCTGCCTGGTTCTAGGAATTGTTATCTCCGCCCCTTGTGGCTAAGGGTGAGGGACGACCTTTGGAATTCGAGCGACAGGAGACAAAGCTTGTTTCTGGTAGCAAACATTGTCTCAGTTTCCTCTCCCTGCCCCCAAAGCTTGGTTGGAAGTCAATGTGGGTAAGACCCCTCACAGCTGGGGGCAACCTAAGCCAGACTCCATCACTTGGGAGGCCTTCATGGAAGGACTGGGCGGGGGGGGGGGCTGCAACAAAGAGCAATGGACTCTCGCCAACTCCCC